CTGAAACAGCAGCTTCCCAATAAGATCTCAGGAGTTGGGTGAGTGGGGAGAAGGAACACAAGACCCTGGAAGCATGCCAACGTATAAAACCCCCAAGTCCAAAGGTCAAGTCACCCACTTGGCCCTATTCCAAGTGTGCTTTCCTCCTTTTTTCTCCTGCTCTAAAGCTTTTAAATAAACTTTCACTACTGCTCTAAAAACTTTCCACAATCTTGCTTTCTGCCTCATGCCCCTCAGTCAAATTCTTTCTTCTGAGGAAGCAAGAATTGAGGTTGCTACAGATCCATATGGATTTGCTGCTGGTATCAATATGTGGCCCCTAAGAAAAGCTGATCTCGAAGTAAAAATTAGAAAAGAGGATGCTAGAGGCCTGGAAGGGTGGGGAAAGGGGGAATAGGGAGAGATTTATTAAAGGCTACAAAATTACAGCCAGATAGCAGGAATATGTTGTAGTGTTCTATGCCACTGTAGGATGAATATGGCTAACAATAATATATTGTATAGTTTCAAGCAACTAGAAAGAAGATATTGAATGTTTCCAACACAAATGAGTGATAAACATTTGAGGTGATTGACAGATATACTAACTACCCCTCTTCGATCTCTATACATTATATGTATTGAAATAGCTCTATGTACTCCATGAACATGTGCAATTATTATTTGTCAATAAAATTTTGTAAAATCTTGATCTCATAGAATTAGACAGTAGAATAGTGGTTACCAGAGGGTGAGGAGGGTAGTCAGGGAGAGGAGAATGGAGAGAGGTTGGTCCATGAGTACAAATTTCGAGTTAGATAGAAAGATAAGTTCCAGTGTTCTATTACACACTAGGGTGACTATAGCTAATAATTATGTGTTGTATAGTTCAAGATAACTAGAAGAGAGAATTTTAAATCTTCTCACCACAAAGAAAGAAAAAATGTTAGAAGTGAGGGGTATGCTAATCACCTGATTTGATCCTTAAACAGTGTATCCATGCATTGAAACATCACACTGTACCCCATAAATATATATAATTACTATGTGTCAGTTATAAATAAATTAGAACTTCAAAAAGGAGTACAGTATCAAGCATAGCATTACTGATATTATTATTCTTTCCACCCAGTAGCAAATTGCAGTGCAGTGATTGAAAGTAATCACTTGAGGCCAGACACAGTGGCTCATGTCTGTAATCCCCACACTTTGAGAGGTCAAGGTGAGCAGATCCCTTGAAGTCAGGAATTCGAGACCAGCTTGGCCAACATGGTGAAACCCTGTCTCTCTGAAAAATACAAAAAATTAGTCGGGCACACCTGTAATCCCAGCTACTTAGGGAGCTGAAGCAGGAGAATGGCTTGAACCCCGGAGGCAGAGGTTGCAGCGAGCCAAGATTGCACCACTACACTCCAGCCTAGGCAATAGAGCAAGACTCTGTCTAAAAAAAAAAAAAAAAAAAAAAAAAAGAGGTAATCACTTGAGACACAGATATCTGAGTTGGAACCTGGCTCTCCCAGTGTCCATTGATATAACTATGAGCAAGCAAGTTTCAGTGTCCTGATATATAGAATGGTAATGGGAATAACAGAGAAAAATCTGGCAATTATAGCATGGTATGGGCAATTCATAGTGTTGCTTGTGCCTGGCACAGATTGACAAAGCTACAATAAATGGTGGCTAGTAGTATAATAAAGATTCTAAAAGAGTATGTTTAGACTAGCCACCAATGCTTAATTGTCCCCTGAGGTAATAATGTCTTTATCTGATTTCACCTTTCCATATATTTGCTTATTGGAAGGTTTGAGTCCTAAAGGATTTCCAGAGTGTCAGAACTCAGTGACACCTTCCCACATGAAGGTCGAGGGCTGTCTGCAGCCCTTGGTGGGACCTTGTTTGCTGACATCAGTCCTTCTACTTAGAGCAGTTCTTGTGCAGTCTTTGATGCAAAGTAATTTTGGAAGAATTACCTCAAGGATGTTCAATGGTGATTACTGCTGATTGTGGCCTGGGTAGGTGGAAAGGCTACTTAGAGGGACCTAATGCAGCAGGCTTAGCTCCCAGAGTTATTCGTTTTTGGAACTTGGTTTTCAAAGTAGGTCAAATGAAACTGAAAAACATTTGGAATAATCCATCACTGGTCATGGACAGAGAAGGGTTCTAAAAGGGACTGGGCTGGAGAACCCCGCAGGCTTGCGGTGAGTTATGGGTTGGTGCTCCCCTACCTACAGATTCTTTAAAAACAATGTCCCTACAACTTACTGAACTGGAATATCAGCTCGGTGGATTCCTTCTTCTCTGGCCACTCTTAGGGGACTGAGGGAGGGCTGGATTCAGAAAAGGGCTTTTAAAAATTCAGAGAATTACCTTTTCTTACTGTGCTCTAACACCAAGAACCAAAGGACCTATTCTTTTACAAAGGTCAAATAATCTTAGAAAAGGGGACGCCTCCTTTTCTACAGAAATGACATTCTTTTCCAAGGGGCCTGGAGCTCCCCAAGTTTGTGGCACACCCTGCCTTCAGTAGCTCATCAAGGTCTTTGTGTTAAAATCCACAATATTTAGCAAGGCAGTCTCCCCTCCCCTGTCATCTGGCCCAGTCTAGTTTCCTCTCTCACCCCTCCCCCAGTTCTTCTCACCTGCTTATTTGGGTCTAACCAGGTGCCTTAGTCAACTTGGGCTGCCATCACAAAATACCACACACTCGGGGGTTGGTTTAAATACCTTTAATTTTCATTGTTTTGGAGGCTGGAAGTCCAAGATCAAGGTGTCAGCAGATGCAGTGTCTGGTGAAATCTCTCCCCGTGACTTTTAGATGGCCTGACTCCTCACTGCACCCTCACATGGCATCTCCTCTGCTTCTGCAAGAAGGGAAAGGGACTCTGTGTGTGTGTGTGTGTGTGTGTGTGTGTGTGTGTGTGTGCGCGCGCGCGCGCACGCGTAGAGATGGGTCTCATCTTTTTCTTATTGAGGCATGAGTCCCATCATGGAAATTTCATCATGGCCTCTGGTGACCCAACTCCTCACTGCAACCTCATATGGCATTTCCTCTGCTTTCCTCATGGCCTCTGATGCCACATGAGGACACAGTAATAAGGGGTCACCAGATGCAGGTCCCTTGACTGGGGGCCTCACAGCTGCCAGAACTGTGAGATGATCCATTTTTGTCCTCTATAGATTACCCAACCTGTGACATTTTGTTACAGCAACACAAACAGACTGAGACCTATGGAGAGGCTTCTCTTCCCACCCCTGTAGTGACTCCTTCTTTGCTAAATTCAGTGAGCATTTTTCAGTCCTCATCTTTGTGAAAGGACGTTTTGCTAGAGTGGAGACTGGAGCTCAGATATTGCTGCTGATCAGAGTTGGCGTGTCTCCCCAGTTGATTTACAATTGGGGCTTGGATACTGTTTTAAACTTGGGAGGCGCCTCCTAATCATCTTGATACAACCACTGATGTGACTACGCTAGAGATAGACTCTTTCCACTTAATTCTACCACTCTTGCTTTACTTCATGAGAATGAAAATGTAAGATTGCACCATGAATTCATTTGGGGAAAGATTGATACTATGCTTTTATTTTATTTTATTTTATTTTATTTTATTTTATTTTATTTTATTTTATTTTATTTTATTTTTTTGAGACAGAGTCTCGCTCTGTCACCCTGGTTGGAGTGCACTGGTGTGATTTTGGCTCACTGCAACCTCTGCCTCCCGGGTTCAAGCGATACTACGGCCTCAGCCTCCCTAGTAGCTGGGACTACAGGTACCCACCACCATGCCTGGCTAATTTTTGTATTTTTAGTAGAGATGGGGTTTCACCTCGAACTCCTCACCTCGTGATCCACCAGTCTTGGCCTCCCAAAGTGCTGGGGATTACAGAGTTAAGCCACTGCACCTGGCCCTGTGCTTTATTTTAGTTTTAAAAATATTTACTTATTTAGGCCTCACCTACTGGAATGGGAAAGATTGATATTTTATTCATTTTATTTAGTATTTATTTATTTATTTTTCTTTTCTGAGACAGTCTTGCTCTGTCACCCAGGCTGGAGTGCAGTGGCACATTTGTGGCTCACTGCAACCTCTACCTCCCAGGTTCAAGCGATTCTAGTGCCTCAGCCTACTGAATAGCTAGGATGACCAGCATGTGCTTCCACACCCAGCTAATTTTTGTATTTTTCATAGAGACAGGGTTTTGCCATGTTGCCCAGGCTTGTCTCAAACTCCCGGCCTCAGGTGATCCATCTGCCTTGGCCTCTCCAAATGCTGGGATTATAGGCATGAGCCACCGCCCCCTCCTGGAAGGACTGATATCTTATAACATAATTTATAGTTACAGAAAACATGTGAGTTCACTAGGAATAAAGAAATTTTGAAGGTAATAAAAGATTTTCACTTATGTTGTATTTTCGACAGTTTGGTATAGAATGTGGAGATTTTAACATTTACACCTAGCTTGTTCATAAACTAAGACCTGAATGGGTTGTGTCTATTAGCTGCACCCCTGAGTAGCCACACAAGCTTGGGAAGGCCTCAGCCCCCTCCTTGTACAGCAGGAATGAGAACAGCACTGCCTGTTGGGAAGCTTGAGGGAGGCTATGGATGGCAGCACTTGGCAGAGGGTCTGGTCATGGAAGGTACCAGCAAATGTGAGCTACTTTTATGATTTTATTTTATCCAAAATGAAGGGAATAAGAGAGGAGGGAACAAGACTAATCAGGAGAGATGAAGATCTGGGGGTGAGGGAAGGAGTAAGCAGAAATAAAGGCAGCATGGAGCAGCTGAGGGGGGAGATGGCTTTCACCACTTCCCAGCATCTATTGACATTCCACTCTCAAGTATTTTGTAAGACTCTTTATTCAAGGTAATGTTTGAACCCTGCTGAGGCAGTGGCATGGGTCTCTGAGAGAATAATTAACTTAATTTGACCATCTGGTTTGTGGATGCGTTTACTCTCATGTAAGTCAACAACATTCTGGGATGGGGACACACTTTCTGGGCACTGCTGGCCAGTCCCATAATGGAACATAAGGAAGTGGTTCTTCTACTTCTTTTATTTCTGAAATCAGGTAAGACATAGTTTTTTTTGGTATAACAATTATTTTTTCTACCACAGTGTAGTAAAAATACATATGCCATGGCTTTATGTGCAATTTGTTTTATTTAATTTTTGATTCATGAAACTCCCAGTTCAAAATCTTGTGTAAGATTGAAAAATTTTAAAAAAAATAAGTTTAATTTCCCTGTGAAGACTGTCAGGATGCTGGAATGAATGGGCAGAGAAAATAATGGGTGATTTTTCTAATCTAAAAGAGTGTACCTACGTGATGGACAGTCTAGTCGGAAAAAAAAAAAAAAGCCATTGTAGCTCACTATGCAAAGGATGGCCAAGCACTTCACCTGGTACTCAGTTTTATTAATTTATATCATCTCTGTTTGGGTGCCATGCTCCCCTCACTTGCAAGTTGAAACAATGAAATAGCTCTTTGAATATATTTGGTTCTTCGACCTGTTCATGGAGTGGGACCCAGCATTTCTCTCTTTGTAATGGCCTGAGGAAAGCTTTCCATTGGTGTACATTTGCCTCATATTGTAGCAGGACAAGCTGCAGACAAAACCTCTCAGACACCGAGTTGTAGAAGAAAGGGCTTTATTCAGCTGGGAACATAGCAAGCTACTGCCTTAAAATCCAAGCTCTCTGAGTGCACAATTTGTGTCCCTTTTAAGGACTCACAACACTAAAGGTTTTACATGAAAGGGTCGTGATTGATTTGAGCAAGCAGGGGGTACGTGACAGGGGCTGCATGCACCAGTGGTCGGAGTGAAACAGAACAGGGCAGGGAGTTTCACAATGTTCTTCTATACAATGTCTGGTATCTATGAATAACATTGGTTTCTAAGTTATGAGTTGATTTTTAACTAGTGAGTTTAGGCCAGGCAGGCCCAGGCCTGGTTTTGGGCCTGGCACTGGGCTGCCTGTCTTTGGTTTTACTTCCTTGTTTTTTCTTAAAACAGGTACTGAGTATAAAACAATACAAAACAAATGAGAGGGTCTCTCTCTTTCCTCATTTCCCCTCTTTGAGACTCTCACTTTTTATTAGTGGGAGTTCTCACTCTTATTTTTGCTACTTATGTCTTTTTGTGCAATAGATCGATAGTGATTTATATAGTACACTTGTGCTGAAGCATTTTGGTGAACTAAGGTAGCAATGAAGGTTTTTATCATTTGAAGGAGTACAGGTAGCAAACAAGAGGGAAGTAAGCAGGTTCTTATTACTGTTATAACTTTTATTATAAGAGTTTTAAATCCTCTTAGTGCTGGGAACTAATTTTCAAACATGGCTCCTGGATTAAGTCTGAGCCACACTTGCACAGGTACATGTGCCAGTTTTGTTATGTTTTTAACTATCTCTTTAACTACTTGCCTTTGATTATCTATGTGTAGACAGTAATTAGTAAGGTGAAATTTCTTATAGACCTTTCTTTTAGCTGCTAGTAAGTAGTCGAGAGCCAATCTATTTTGATAGATATCATATCTTATCTGAGTTTCTTGCTGGGCCAGAATAGTCAAGGCTTGACCAGTTTTATTATTAGAAATTATTAGTAATAATTTCTAATTATTCTAATATTCTAATTATTATTCTAATGTTATTAGCAATAATTTCTAAAACAGCTTGTAACCGTATGATTCGGTTGTGCATGTAGATGGGGGTCCGACATCCCCATGAGCCATCGTGTGCCCAAGTGATGAGTCCATAGTATTGTATGATTCTTTCAGGGGGCCATTCATCATCTTTCTAATTATCTATGGCTATGCTTCATTTTTCGCGGTAGGCATAGACTGGGAAGTCCAGAAGTTCACCTGTTTTTATGGGCAGTAAGAAGAAAGATGGTTTAATAGTGCCAATAACACAACCGCCTGTCCACTGGTCAGGCAGCTTAGCGTAGGCTCTATGTCCACATGTCCAGTATAACCCGGTGGGGGCCGTCTAGTCCTGGTGGAATTCTGAGTGGGCCCAGACAGTCTGTAACCTTGGAAATTTACTGAATGGATTTCTTTCTGTATAATTGGAACTCCACCATATAACTGTTCTTGCGGTACTATTATACAGCTTTTGCCCAAGACAACTAAGCCACCCTATGGATGAGTGAATCCTTTTCCTTCTCTAGCTATGCAATACTGTCTAATAATGCAGACTTTTAGAACCCAAAAATTGTCAGGGTGGTTCTTTTGGGCTGGGAATTCATCAGGAACTGGGTCTGTAGGAACTAATTCTCAGGCTTCCCATGGCCGTTGATCTCCTCTTATGGTTCCTCCACAAACATAACATGAAGTGACTTTTAGAGACTGGGCTACATGTTCGGCTAATTGCAAAAGCAAATTTTTAGTTTTTCCTGAAATCTCAGGTATTGGCACATTTAGTTCATCATAGAAAGTCTGAAATACTGGCTCTGGAGAGTCTCTTTGAACCTCTCCTTTTATTAGGATGCTTATGCTAGGATCTAGTCCTTTTTTCTAATGTTATGTATTTTTTTAAATTTCATTTTGGGTCTGAGGGGTCTGCGATGACCAATTCTGAAGGGTTGCGGTTCCCACTCGTGCAGGAGGGGCTGACTGTTCCTTTTTGGAACCAAACAGGATCTTTTTCATTTTTGTTTTTTCAAGTAGCCCAAAAGACACAAGACCAGTATTGACACATCTCACATAAATATGATTCTTGACAGATATACTTATTTTCTGCTGTGTAACTTTTTTCCCAATTTAGAGAACCGCATCCCATCCCATGCTGTTTACTATTAATAACGGCCCAGGCGTCAAATTTTAAGGTTACATTTTTGGGGACCCCTCTTTTTTTTGTTCTAGCTATTACTTTACTTATGTCACTTAGAAAAGGACCAGTCCTTAATTTTATTTTAAAAACTGTGATCATGGGAGGTTCAGAGGGGTCATAGCACACATCCGACTGGTCACTTCCTGGATTACATACTTTGTACTAGGTGTCATTATACAAACAAGTTTCTTTTAGAGTCCTGGTACACTTAATAACCATAACATAATAGGACTGTAGCAATCTTTTGTCCTACCTCAGTGACTTGATGTATATACTGGGAACGGTCCTCAGTCTGAGGAAGGTCAGTTGAAGTCCTTACCATACAAGTCCAAATTTTAAGGAAAATGAGTCCCGCGATGAGTTTCCTCATGCTTCAGCTGTGCGTGGACCAGTCAGCTTCTGGGTGTCACTGGAGCAGGGCTTGTCGTCTTTTTCAGAGTCACTTTGCAGGGGTTGGTGAAGCTGCTTCCATCCACGTACAGCTCCCAGTCTACTGATGTTTAAGGATGGTCTCGGAGATTGTGCCCACTAGAATAAACTGAGTCCAATACTTTTACACAGTTATGTTTTAACTGGGCCCTCTGATACCAGGAGCAAGGTGGCAGGGTTTAGAGTGTTGCCAACTTCAGTGGTTATGCGGAGATTTTCACAGAGCAAGCTTTGGTATCTAGTTAGTCTAGCATGTATTAGCTAATGGTGTCCTTTGGTATTTACTAAAATCACCACAGCATGGGGGGACTTTATGTTTAGGTTTTGCCTAAGAGTTAGCTTATCTGCTTCTTGTGCTAATGGGGCCATTGCTGCCAGGGCCCTTGGACATGGGGCCCAGCCTTTGGAAACCCCATCTAGTTGTTTTGAGAGATAGGCCACTGGCCTTGGCCAGGGCCCTACAGTCTGAGTTAAAACTCCAACTGCCATTTTTTTTTTGACAGATAGAGTGTAAAGAGTTTTGTCAGGTCAGGTAGCCTCAGGGCTGGGGCCTACATGAGCTTTTCTTTTTAACTCATGAAAAGCTTATTGCTGTTGGTTGTAATAGAGGTAGTTTATTTAATCTACATGTTTATTGACTGTCATCTACCAAAATATTGACTTAAATCTTGTAACTATTTGATTTCAAGCTTTAAATAAATCTGATATTTCTTGCAGAGCTCCAAT